GGGTGGCAAAAGCCTTCAGTGGCACCACAAGGAGCAAACCATTCCATGTCATCTCACCGAGGCGATTGAGAAAACATGTCAAATGGCTTGAATGATGATTTTAGGCTTCCTCTCTAATGCTCGTTCACATGTGCGACATGTCAGTTAAAAATTCAAGATACTACATGAGGTAAACTGCTTGAAAGGGAAACATAGAATTAATTGTAGAAACCCAACAGAGGTAAAGTGATTCAAATATAGACATGGAGCAAATTCAGATGAACCATTGTTCAGATGATCACTGAGGGAAGGGCTAATTAATTCCGAAGAGTAGGTGGAGGTTGGATAAGCAGCATGATAAGCAGAAAGACATTGGCTAATTGAGCATGTGCTGGTGAGGGGCTATTTTGTCATGGAAACAACCTAGGACAATGGATGGTTTCTGCTAGTAGTCCTAACAAAATTGATTTTACAATGGAAACTGCAGTATTTTTAGCCTTGGCTTAGACTTAAATTGTTTTCCAGCTGGGCAAACAGGAGCTAGGATGAGCACTCGATGGCAAGCTAGCCATTATATTTCAGCAAATGATATTAAGAAAATGACGTAGGTTTGCTCTCCACTCTGATCCTTCATGAGTGGCTACTAGTGAAAATGAAGCCTCTAATTTCCTTCATGAACCAGTTGTATTTGTGACTCCTCTTATGGCATCTGTCTGTTAACATTGGCTTGAAACCACACCGACTTGCCATTTCTTAAATCTCTTAATTCAAACCAGCAGTGCCATCTGGAGGAGCCAAAAAGTACTGGTTCATGAAGAAAATTTGAGGCTTCATTTTCCCATCATTAGTAGTGCGGTAACCACCAATAAATACAGGGGGAAAAAAACAACTGAAATTTTAATTTTCAAAGTTAGTGCAAATGGAAGTTTGAAAACAAAAATTAATGAAAGTGCATTGTACTTAAAAGACAAATACAACTGAATTGTACGTAACAAATGTACCGTAACTGTTTTAAAAATACGTTTTAGCTGTACTATCAGTGTGCAACACTCTATGTGGAGTTTGAACATTTAATGTAGTGATTATATTTTTTGCATATCACAAAAGGGAGCCTGTCTGCCACACTTTGACAATCACCAGTCCAAACAAAATGGATGGATTGATGAAAAGTTTTACTAATTGGTTACATAGCCACCTTGGCACGCTGGTAAATGCAGACAAAAATGTACAGGTGGCAAAAGAAGGCACACTTAATTACCACGATACTTAATTTTTGCCATTTCTTTTTTTGAGGATTTGTGGACTATAAATATTTTTGATGCAACTATTTACTGAAAGCATGACTTTTCTTCGGATGTTCTGGCTTACACATACGGGTTATTTAGCTGTACTTTGCCTATCCTTTGCAAACCGAGGACTAATTGTGCATGTTTTTTTTCTTTGTTTCATAAAAAGAACATGTAATAACTGAATTATTAAAGTAAATGTCAAATGGAGATTTTTTCTTCTGAAATTGGTTGGCAAGTTTTACAGTTTGCTTGAAAAAGCTTCCAATTTCTATTCATCAAAGGAAAGCCACATACACAGACAGTCTGGTGTGATGCTCCCATCTGGTGGCGCAACTGTGAAACAATGTACAGACCATTAGTCTAATGCAGTGGGTGCCGTGGGACAACAGTATTAGAGATTATCAGAAGTGCTACAGGAAATCATTCATTTTCACTGAACATGTCCAAAAAGTATGATTAATTAGTTGTAAATATATGTTTGTTCATTTATCTGTGCTGGCAACGTATAATGACAGGCAGAACAACTGAATGCATTAGATGGCAGAGGTTACAATTAATTTGTGTATGCACCTTTTGAAATTCATACAACAAATTCAAATTGAACTGATAGAAGTGAACGAACAGTGAGTGACACATGGGGTTGGGGCCTTTCTCAAGGACAGTTGTCAGCAAGCATGTATCTCTCCAACATCTAGCCGGCTATGTGACCTAAATGAAATCTCTTAGTATGCTCCAGCATTCAGAGTTCTTTTCACTGGCACAAAGGGGCCAATATTTTTGGACAATTCCATGTTCCCACCTGAGGGAACAGCTTGATGTTGCCTTGTTTCAACAGTTCACAAAGCAAGGTCCTTGAAGACATGGATGACTGAGAGTTTCTGGTATAGATGAACTTGACTGGCCTTCACAGAGTCTTGATCTCAACCTGACATAAGACTTTTGGGAACAATGTGAGCAGAGACTGAGAGCAGTGAGTGACCTAACAAATGTGCTTCTGAAGGAAAGTAAAAAATAAACAAACAAACAAAAATCTATATACCCAGTTCTAAAAGTTGAGGAAAGTCTTCCAAGAAGAGATGTGGCTGTGATAGTTGCTAAGAGAGGATTGGCATCATCATAAACACAATGAGATCATATTTAAGTTCATAGGCAGGGGAATGAAAACTTTGTACAGTAGAAGGAAACCCTTCACAGTTTCTTACATTTCGGCATAAATTTATCATAAAATGTAGTCAGATCATCAGAAGAATACACAAACAGAATCTGCCTTTTACCACACAATTCTGTGTTTTCAGGTATTTTTGCACAGGGTGAATTTTGACTCATTCCTGATTACACAACTGTTGATATTCTGAAAAATTTCTGGAATGATTGTCATGAATATCAGTCTTGAAGTCATCTCACAGGATTGTCAATTAAGGTTAAGGGTTAGGATTTGGGGTGAGGGTTAGGGTTAGGGTTTGGGCTAAAGTTAGGGGGGAGGGTTCGGGTGAGGTTTAAAGGTTAGGGTTCGGGGTAGGGGTAGCGTTAGGGGTTCGGGTTTGGGATGAGGTTAGGAGTGAAGGTTAGCGTTAGGGGGGGTTAGGGTTTATGGTAAAGGGTTGGGGTTAGGGGTTAGGGTTAGGAGTTAGGCTTAACGTTAGGGCGTGGGGGTTAGAGTTACGGGTTAAGGTTCGGGCTTAGGGTTAGAGTCTAGATTTGGAGTTAGGGTCAGGGGTTAGGATTGAGGTTAGAGTTAGGGGTTGGGGGGTCAGGGGTTAGGGGTTAGGGTTAGGTGTTCGGGTGAGGGTTAGGGGTTAAGGGGTTAGCATTTGAGGGTTAGGAGGTTAGGGGATTCGGGTTATGTTAGAGGGTTAGGGCAGGGGTCGACAACCCAAAATATTGAAAGAGCCAAAGTACGTCTGGAGCCGCAAAAAATTAAAAGCCTTTTATAAGCCTTATAAGGAAGGCAACACATGCTGTATGTATCTATATTAGTTATCAACTAAGATGAACGAGGCATGGGAGACACTGTTGTGTTAACTATCGTAGCTGACGTGTACCGTTTTAAAATGCTTCTCTCGGCCCTCCAGATTCCCATTCTTTGCCAGTACCGTCGGTGAATTGTTCAAGAAACCCGTTTTTTTTTTCCCCCCCAACAGCCACCTGCATTGCATTCCGTCCTGCTAATAGAAACATTTGGTGCAGGCTATGACGCAAATCTTCGTTGACAGAAATGTCATTAATTATTTATTCTTCACATTTTTACAGCATTGGAAAACGTTAAGAATGTTTGTGTCATGTTTGTCCTCCTGCAGAAACCATTTTAAAACAAAAAGTATATTTCCCTCCCCCATCTTTTTCCATTTTCAAACATTTTTGAAAAAGCTCCAGAGCCACGGGTTGCGGACCCTGCGTTAGGGTTATGGTTAGGGGTTAGGGTTAGTTCGATGATGTGCTATTACCATGTAGCTCACGCCCCTAATGTACTAACATGTAAACAAACTCATAAACAAAATGCTTATTTAAAATGCTTTTTATCTGTTATATTTGATGTGAAAATTGGTCATCAAGACGGAGGGACAACAGAAAAAAAAGGCATTTTATGCGGTGCTAAAGAGTTATTGGTTTGTGAGTTGAAAAAAAAAAGTTTTAAATCACTATTATTGTACCCAGTTAGATGAGTCAAGCACCACGATAAATCAAACTGCTGGTGGCAAGTTCGAAGGAAAGGTCTCTTTGTTGCTATGACAACACTCGCTCTCTGTCTGTGGGATTTAGAACATAATAATAGGGGTGGAGCCCCGCAGTTAAAAAAGAAAAGGAGTCATCATCGCGTTAATGTGGCTTTATATATGATGAGAAATTATACAAAGAAAATTTAGTAACCGGTTTTAGTTCATTTAATTGTACTTAGTGTTAGTGTGAAAAGTAGACATACGAGATGGTCGAGTAAAGTCAACAAGAGCATCTAAATGTATATGGAGGTGGTTAAGTCGGTTGTATTCTGCCCAAAGGCAACTAGGATAAAAAGGTGTGGATCCCTGATTTGCAGTTATTGTTGTTCACTTGTGTGAACATTGTAGAATGACTTCTCGAAATAAAAAAAAGCATTATTTTTCTTGACAGTTTGTATTGAAGGTATAGAAAATTTGCAGGAAACATTGTCAACATACGTGATTTGTCTTTGCGGGGCACATAGACTGTTGTGGACCGGATCCGGTCCCCGGGCCTTGACTTTGACACCTGTGATATGTGCATGTATTTTACCGGCTAAAGAGGTGATTACAGGAAGTAACCCGGTCAAAACACGCAACAAAGAGGCTGTGATGAAAGCCTAAAACAAGCACCAAAAATGGACAACGCAAAAGTCAAGAATCAAGAACGCAAATGGGTCACAGAATTGATGCGGCACTTATTGCAAACATAATCTCATACGCTCAGACAGATTTAAATCCAAAATATTTTCTCACCTAAAACGCTGGTGTTTTATTACAATTCATGGTCGCTTCCATGTTGTGTACCAGATTCAAATGTAAATCCAGGTACCTGGAAATAGAAGATGAAATGCTTCAGAGTGATTATTTCAAGTTCAAGAAAAGATGAACAATTACTGCAAAGAGTTGAATAATGTTTGTGCATGCAGGATGCATGTGCAACAAACAGTATCCCAGTTGACTCTGAGAGGTACCGAGGAGGCCTCCTCCATCTGGCTCCTCCCTGAGAGAAAACATTCCAGTAGAGAGAGAGTGCGCAAAAGGAAGTGGAAAGTCTCCGTCTTACAACACACCGATTGCTTGCTCGGTGGACGTTGAGTGCATGTGAGGAAGTTCTGAAGCCCGGAAAGTGAAGCTCGTCACCCAGCAGCGGGCAGAGGACAATGAAGCTGGTGTTCATCCTGTTACTTTCCACAACCTGGATGCTGTGTGGAGCTCAGTTCTACTACCAGGCGCTGATGGACTATCTGGAGAACAGATTGTTGGCTATTGAGGTAATCATACCTTGGCTTGTCATGCGACATCATGTTTGTTTGCTTCCTCCACCTATGAGGTTATTATCGTATGTTGTACACAACAGCAATTGAATAACATCGAAAGAGTGTGTCCGTTGCATTCATGAAAAGTTGTTCAAATGTTCACAGAGTCAAGCAAAACCAAACAACAATACTAAACTTGCCAATGTCAGAAACAAAACTTCAACACCATCTATTTGTCTCCTCCAAAAGCATCATTTGGAATACGCAAACATTGCAGCTGAGGGAACAGATGGGGTAATGACGAACAAGGGGATTTTCTTGATTGCATTATTTGTTTTCCTGATGGAGACGTCCTCTCTTGAAGTGAAATAATTCATTTGAATGGTGGGGTTTTTTTCTGGTTATGCCTTTCAGAGGGACTGATTTTTTTTTCTTTCTTTTTTCATAACCACTTGTCACAGCAGTGGCAAATCGTAATCGACAATCTTGAAACTGTTATCAGCATGAAATTAAAAAAAAAAAAAGAAATTGCAGCTTGCTGCTGGAGGCTCCATCTGATCAGTAAGTTGAGGCAACTGTTTGAATGTTATATCTAAGCATTTCTTTCATATATTCAGGACCGAAACTAGACGGTGATTTATAGACCAGTAGCATAATTTTACAATGTGTTCTAAAGCCGACTCGGAGTCAGTGTAAAGTCTTTAGAACTGGAGTAATATGTTCTAATGTCTTTGTTCAATTATGAATTTGAACAGCAGTGTTTTGAATGATCTGCAGCTGTTTGATGCCCTTCTGATAGAGTCCACTCAAAAAACTGTTACAATAATCAAGTCTACAGGAGATAAACGCACGCATAAGCTAAAACTTGAATACATTTAGCGTAAGCACCCGGGTAAAAGCCATCTGATTGTCAATGTTTTTTTTTTTTTTGTTGTTGTTTTTTTAAGGACCACATGCACTTGTGGAAAGAGCAGTCACGGCAATACCACATGGAACTTCAGGATTTACACAAACGGTCCAAGAAGACTATAGAGGGTCTGAAGCAAGGACACAGCATGCTATCCACCGATGTGGAGGCAGCAGCGGCCCGATTGAATCGGGTGGAGCAAAACGTGGACTTTGTGGAAAGCCAGACATCCCCACGGGCTTGTGCAAACCAGGCGGACCGGGTGTTGGAGCAGGGAGTGTGGAGCGAGGAGGAGAGTCGAGGAGAGGAGGAAGAGGAGTGGGAGGAGCTGCCCTCCAGAGTAACTGGTGAGATATGTCCTTTGTGGACTCAAAATTGTCTTGTACAATGTCAGACATGTTCAAGAATGACACTGGTCAACAGCAAATTTTCATCAAAGATGGCTTTATGGAGCTAGTATTGGGGTACTGAGGACTAAGCCGAAGCCGATAAGGGATAGGTCAAACCCTTTAGAATGACTTCACATGAAATGTTAGGAAAGCCCTCCTCTCTGTCCATCTTTAAAATTTGTCTTAAAACACAATTTGATTCTTTGGCTTCCCCTCAGCATAACACTCTCGGCTTTGTTTTTGTGTTTTATTGTGTTTACTGTTTTTATGTTCTGGATTCATTGTTGTTACCATTTTGATTTGTATAGTTTGTTTTATTTTATGTACAACACGTTCTAGGCAGCTCTGGTTGTTCTATAAATAAAGTTGAGTTGAGTGTATGTGACCTTAAAAGTATTTTGACAAAAATGTCTACTTTTTTTTCCTAGCACATCAGATTTTTCATAAAATGTCACTTTTCTGTTTTTAAAGTTGCTTGCGCAATACGAATTTTACCACGTGTTGTAATTTATAGCTGTGACGCTTGAGAAAAAAATTCCAGTTGTTGCTAAATCTAACTCTTAACTTATAAATATTATAAAAGATATTATTAGATTACATATTGTATAATAACAATAATAATAATAATAATAATAATAGTGATGATGATGATTATTATTATTATTATTCTTAAGAAAACCTGATGTGCTTGAAATGGCAGATTCAGAATCAGGCCAAAAAAAATGTAATCTAGAAAAGTCTATTTGTATCTTTCATTAAAATAAATAAATAAATAAATAAAATGTAATTTATAGCTGTGACGCTTGAGAAAAAAATTCCAGTTGTTGCTAAATCTAACTCTTAACTTATAAATATTATAAAAGATATTATTAGATTACATATTGTATAATAACAATAATAATAATAATAATAATAATAGTGATGATGATGATTATTATTATTATTCTTAAGAAAACCAGGCCAAAAAAAATGTAATCTAGAAAAGTCTACTTGTATCTTTCATTTAAATAAATAAATAAATAAATAAAAAATACCGGTAGTAAAAATGTGAGTGTAAATTGTGTCTTCAAAATGATTTCATGTCGGCTAGATTTTAATCAAAGACTCTAAAGCAGGGGAGGTTGAACTACGGCCCATGGTTCAACATAAAGCCAACCATTTAAATTATCTCTGCACATATACCAGACAAATATTACCAAACAATGTTTATGGGCTATGTTTTTAAATTTTGTTTTAACTTTTCCTGAAAACACGTGCAGTATGCTGTGATGAGAGAGTCAATTATCTTTGATGTACATATGTAGAGTACATGCGAAGGTTGGTTCATTAAAGCTAAAGCTTTAGTAAGTAAGGTACTGAACATCGTAGACTGCAAACGCTACTTCAAATCATCTGCAATGAGTCTGTTTTGAACATTAACTTCAAGGGGATAAAAATAAAATGTATGTTTATGACTTCTGATTCCCAGACTCAGTAGAGTCATTTGCAGGACTCATGCCCTGAAATGTTTTCATTTTATCACATCAGTATTCATTTCACTGGAACACGAAATGAAATATCAAATATGTTTTAATTGGCTCCAAATGGTGATGGTTGATCGTGAAACTCCTTTGGGTGTATTTAGGCAAAATGAACACTTTCCTCAATGTCTCAAACACACACACACACACACACACACACACACACACACACACACACACACACACACACACACACACAACATCCAGCACAATTATGACATCTGTGCACAGTCATACAGTTTAGAACTAGGCTTTGCTTTTTCTCCCAGAAACAAACATCAATGTAAAGCTCATGAGAGACGTCGTGCCCATTGTAAGGTGACCCCACGATGAACTGATATTCCTTGTCAGGAATTGGCTACTTTTTGTTGGAGAGTCTAATGTTTATTTGCCTCAGGTCATGTCAGAGGAGAGAGCCTCTTTTGTCCCAAGCCGCTTTTATGTTCCATTTCATGGCACTCTACCCTGAAGGTTTTCAATGGGACTTTGCTGCATACAGTTGTTGACTGTATGAGGAAATTACAGCTAGGTTGCTAAGCTTTTTTTTTTTTTTGGAGACCCATTTTTGGACTAATGTTGAGAGGACCCGACTGCAGGGAAGCTGGGCAGGATGTGGTCGAAGACAAAATGTTATTATTTTCCAAAAGATCAAAATCACTAATTTAACAAAAGTCCAAAATAAATTAGGTCAAAGTATCCCAAAACAAACATGAAGAAAAAGACTTGATGCCTGAGCACAAAAATAGTGATGATCTTTTCAGAGATGGAGGATAGGTTCCCAAAAAGCATTCACATATATGCAAATTTACATACACTGAACCGCGAATATGAGGGTGTTCATTGCACAAATAATCTGGACTTGCACAAGCATGTAGCCCACAATGCCGATAACGTTTTGCGTTTTGTGTCTGCGTAGACTGCGTGGAAATCATCTCTGCCATCCGGTCGGTGAAGATCCTGAAGCGAGTGGGTGGTTCTAAGGGCGTGTGGCTCCGGGACCCTCGGTCATCCAAGGTCTACGTATTTAACGGGACAGCGGGGGACACCATCTACCAGTTTGAGTCCGTCAAGGAGTTTCTTCAGGGCTCCCCGGGTGTCGCCCTCGGTCGGCCGATCAGGCTGCCGTCCAATTGGAGGGGCAGTGGCGTCGCTGTTTACAACGGTTATCTGTATTACATCCAGCAGGGGGAAGACATGAATGTGGTCAGGTATGACATCATTGGTGGCAGGCTCATGGATGTCGCCATTCTCCCCGTGGAGAGCCGAGCTGCTGTTTACAGCCTCAACCCCGAGACAGTAGCAGATCTCGCAGTGGACGACCAAGGCCTCTGGCTTCTCTATGCCAGCGGTGAGACCGAACCAAACATCAACCTCGCAAAAATGGATCCCGTCTCTCTGGATATCGAGCAAATCTGGGACACCCGCTGCCCGAGGGAGAATTCGGAGGCGGCTTTCATTGTCTGTGGCGTCGTCTACGTTGTTTACAACACGTTGCAGACCAGTCGCTCTCGGGTCCAGTGTGTGTTTGATGTCAATGACAAGGTGGTGAGTGAGGAGGCACCCCTCTTTTATTTCCCTCGACGGTATGGAGGACATGCCAGTCTAAAGTACAATGCCGAGGAGAAACAGATCTACAGCTGGGACGATGGCTACCAAATCCTCTACAGGCTGACGACCAAAAGGAAAATGCTGGTTTGACGGCCCAAACCAATGTCATTTATGGTAAAAATGTGTTGTCAAAAACATGGAAACACAAGTTAGTTTCCACAAGTCTTCGATGTTAACAAACACTTTGATTGTTGTCAAAGGCAGGGGTCCCATATCTACCGGTCCGTGGACCGCCCATTTGTTTTCGTTTTTGCTGGGCATCGGTCAAACATACATCCCGCCTCCAACACCACGCAGCCCATCAATTAACTTCCAAAGGGCAATATAGAAAGGGTTGCGTGATTTTACGATCGAGATTTGTGATATTACATGACCAGCGGCGAGCTGTGAGCATATTTATGCAATCAGACATGGTGGGAACTCTAGCTAATCGGAGTCCTCATTCTAACATTGGTTTGCAAGTGGAATTCACCACCAGAATTCACCAAGAAATGAAAGAAGATTCAGTCCAGAGAATGTAATAGAACCAATTTTGACAAAACGCACATCTGTACGTGCTGCTCATGGACAGCCATGACTTCCAAAGATGAAGCTATTTTGACAAGAAAAGTTCCTCTCCTGGCGATATCTCCAGAGCGGCATGGAGGAAGAAGCTGTTATGTGTGGTATGTCATCCAAAACAAGACAATACAAGAAACCTGCTGAATTATTTATACAAGTAGCACCCAAGTGATTAAGTGGAAAGCATGAAAATGCGAGCACAACCTGACCGTGTAAATATTTGAAGTAGCAATGATGCAGCTTTTGTGTAAGCACTATATCAAGATGTATTGTATTGATATGGACCTTCCAGAAATTACATCTTAAAGGGCGTATGAGAGGACTGACACGGGTGTAGTTCAGCAAAACTTTCTCCCGGCTATAGATGCCAATTACTTCCTTCTACTATCAACAACTGGTATCGGCGGCCTTTGAGAACACTTGATACCTTGTATCGTTACTTGTCCATCCCGAATTAATAGTATAGCTAAATGCTTAAAATGTGTATTTTCTACTACTTCACCTGGACATACAATTATTGTATATCCAACATGTCTCATATTTTCAACTGCACTATACTATATCATCAGGATCATTACTGTAATGTACCGCAACATAAGAATTGTTTAATAATTAAATGTTGTTGAGGATCCTTGCAGTGTGAGGCAGTGCACATTTGACGATCTCATCTAATGTCGTTGGGGAGCGCTCTGGCTCGTTAGGCTGACAGCATTATCCGGCAAAAACAAACAACAGCTCACTTTGCATAAATCATTTAATCAAAAGGCAGATCATGTCACAAACCAAAACACGTCACACCCAATGGAAGGGAAACAATTAAGAGGTTTTACAGTGACAAGTGGGGAACAAAATAATGCCAATTATTTCACTGGTAAGTCTATAACAGACTCCTTAGACTAAGTGCTCATTTCATCAACAGAATATTTTCTCACTTGTCACTATTATACAAAATGCCCATTAAAAAAAAAAAACAACGGTATTTTTGTTCAAACTCAAAGAAATCATTTTGAGAACGGTGGTGACATGAGGCGAAGCTAAAAGGTTAACAGTTCAAAGAGCAAACAACCACACATGGTTACAAATACGTGACTGCCTAAAAGTGCAGGGGGTGTCAAAACAGCACAGGAAACACTTAAAAGTTGAAGAAATCTGAAGTTGATCTAAAATTATAAAGAAATGAAAGTTCAGAAGATGCACAGAATCCACAACATGAACAAAATGAGTGGGACAGGAATCCTAAACTCGGTCACCCCCTTACATCCACATCCATATGTTTTGTATTTGTCCGCTTTTTTTCTTGTGTGTGTTGCGCCTTTCACGAGGCTTTCACTGAGGATCAGCAAAGCACAAATATGGTAATGCTCTTGACTCTCACACTCAAATTACTTTGACAAGAGAGATGTAATGTTGAGCATATAATTGCTTAAACAGAACATATTGACAAAACAACCACAACATTTTTTCTGACATAGCCCAGCACACACTTTACTGTTGTCTTCACCTTATTTCATTGTTATGGTTCAGTTCCAGTTTTATGATGATATTTACAGACAGTTGCTAATGTGAAAATGCCTGTAGTGCACAGCGAATAAAGGTTTTTATGTTGGCATCAGTTTCAACCTTTAACTCCTATTATTTCTCACGGCAGTTTTTGTTTTGAAATTAGAACAACTTGGAAGTCAACTCGAATCACGGTGTTCCAGTTTTATTTTTGATCGCGATGAAGTCATTACTGCTTGAGATGTCAACGTGGGCCAAAAATATTGTCTCTTGCTTCAGTTTTGATGAAATGATGGCATTTTTCTCATTTATTATTTATGATGGCATTCAAGAGACAGTTGGAGCTCACCTTATTACGGAAATCTGACTGGTTGAACTGGTTTTAATGAGACATACTGTGTGTAGGATCAAAAAGAATTGCAGGATACCTTTGATAAAAAGCGTCTATGTCTGGTGGTGCTTATTTTATGTCTCCCTTGACACGCACATACATGTAGGATTACATTTAATGGTGAGGGGCCACTCTCTAATTGCCATTCACACCTTTTTTTTTAACCAATTTTTTACAGGGGCACCTGCCACTGTACACCCACTGCGAGCGTAATGCCTGGCCTGCCATGTCCTGTCCTAATTTCCATACATATAAAATCCAATTCCTATGCAATGTTATTATTGTTTTCTATTGTTTTAGCCTAAATTGTATAGATACTCCAACTTGAAAAACTGCTCAATAAAAACACACCGATATCACTTGAATAACCTGACATAAACAGTAACTTTTGGGCATGGTCAACAACATTTTGGTAAGAAAACGATGCCCTCCAAGTTGTAACGGCGGGCTGTCTGGCAAGCACCACAAAGCTAGCTGAGCCAGCCGTGCCCCTGACATAAAGACGGTGAGTGCGGTGCTTCGAGTAAAGAGTAAACTGTGTTGTGTTAAAGTATCATTTCCGTTGTCCAGTCACAGTTTCATTTATACCTTGTGGTATTCTCAAGAAGCGGTCTTGAATTTCTTTTTAATTCGCTTTATTTTGTAGCTAACACAGGTAACCTGGTATCCGTTTTCCTACATATCCACCAGACTCTGCAGTCTTTTTTTTTGTCTCCTCTCCGCTACTGTGTGTGCTACTTCTACGTAGTGCCCGCAAGTGTTCAGACTGATACGCCACGTAACGTAAATGGCTTGTGTTACAGGCTATGGTTTACTGAAACCTTTGGCAAGACCATTAAAAACATGCAGCTGGATATTAAAATGTAAATCATGAAAAGTTGTTCTTCTAAAAAGTTTGATATTGGAGTGAAACCTCTGCCGTGGTCCTTTGTGTTTGTGAACAGTATTTGATTACAATAAAGCACTTGCTGGGTGTTCACAAGTAGTCAAATGGAAGTACTGGTACTCATACTTAAAAAAAAAAGTGGTTTCAGTGCATCCAGTCTTTCTTTTTATCTGTTGTGTTGTACGGTTCGACTGCTCTGTCATAAAAAGGCACACAGATCCACCATACTGCATGTTTAAGCAATGAACAAGACCGGTTAAAAAAAAAAAACATACAGAAGAAAATCCTTTGGAGGATACCTGATATTTTGCGGCATGAATTTCTCCTGTACCATGAGGGAAAATAAAAACCAGCACTGACTATGAAATCTCCTGAAATAAAATTGTCAAATTTAGAGGTTTCAATGACACCAAGAGCTGTGACATCGACCACAAACAACAAGCAAAGGCCAATAAGACCAAAAGTCACCGCTTGGTAATGTCAACCCGACTGGACTGAGCCCAACTCGTCAACATAACAAAAAAAAAAAAAAAGAAAAAAGTAAATGCCTAAAACAGATTCTGGCGGACACGCCTGTACATTTCCTGAAGCCCAAAAGCCCCCCCGAGAAATACTGTGATATATGAAACATGCACACTGAGGTCAGTGATACTGTGTCATCCATCTTGGAAGACGCTTCACTTCAACACTGAAGGAAATGTTATCATTTTTTGTGGGGGTGAGGTTTGGGCCACATTGGGCAGAAATTGAGAGTAAACCAGTTTTGAACCCAAACCTGCTGACTGTTTTTATTAAAAGACCCGATGGCTGCCACTAAATGTGATCCATTTAATCTTTCCCCAATCATTTTCAATCTTTTTTATTTTTTTTCATATCTGTTTTCATTTTTCGTTTTCGCATTTTTAGGAAAATATGTTGCGGGTCACCGCTGCATCTGAGACATTTAGCCATCAACTAGTTCAGGATTTGTTTGTGATTTGTACATTGCTTCTGGTTTTTTTGGGGGGGTTTTCTCCCACTTGGGCCCAGTAAAAAGATGTCTTAAATCCAACCTCCAATTGGTTGCCACCAGAAATTTCCAAACACCTTCCAATTTGAGTGCCAGCATTTTCCGAAACAATTTCTACGAATGCTTTCCACATGGAAACAAACCACCTAATGTTAACATCATGGTGACGAAACTAATGATACACAACAGAATGGTATTAAAAAATATATAAGCTAAAAACAACAAACAGCATGAATTAAAATAGTGATGACTCATTGGAGCTCATATTTTGTTACTGCTGTTCTGTTTTCAGCATATGAGAAATGCTACGCAAGTGAGCATTTCCATATTCATTGCTAGTATTCTTCATTGTCCAAAGACCAGCCACAGTTATTCAAATAGTATCACTCAACCACCCCTCCCCCCACATACACGTTAATATTATCCAAAAATGAAAAGACTTTAAATTATTTATTTTATTGAGAGTGATGAAATCCTTATTGTTTTGGGAGCTAGCATTTCTGCTTTTAAATCACAACCCCGATAAAAAAAACTCACACATATTGATCCAACAGTTTTCCATTCACACAGCTTGAAAGGGGAGGTTTTTGTTTTTTTGGGATACAAAATATTTACTTCTTCATTTACAATGTAAAACACAACGAAACAATTTTCAATTCATTTTCAAGTTCATGTTAACTCTGACAGGTCCAAAAAAAAAAAAAAAAAAAAAAAACAATACAACTGAACCACACCAGAATCTGAGGTGATAAATGATAACATTTTCCACAAGAGAACCAACGCAATGTTTCAAGACAGAGTAAACATCGAGGAGGCTTTTTTTTTTCTAATTGTCATCACCTGCTAGGCTACATCTAGCTGGGTTCAAAGAAGCCATACAATCACGAAAAAAAAAAGTGTCTGTACATAACTATATGCACATAATTATACATGACATCCTCCAAAACAAGAGGAGACCCTGCAAACATCAAGTTGTGCTCAATTCACGGCATGTGGCCAGTAACGTCTATTTACTAAACTTCAGATGGAAGGAGGCCTTTTACAGTGGGGGAGACGCTCTCAGTTTATTTGTATAAACACATTTTAAAATGATATTTACCAATATGGTAGTACTAGAATACTTTGTATATTTGTCAATTGAAACTGGGGTTTAAAACAAAATCATGACGATTATGGAGAAGTGCAGCTAAACATCAAGAAACGTGGCAGACTTGGCGGAACAAAAAAGTTGTGTTACTCCTCGAAGCATAAATAAGGATGCACATACAAGTCAAACGCAAATCACTGTTGCATCTGTGTCGAGTAGCGCATTACAACGTGTGATAAATCCTCAAACGTTCAAGTGCTCTTCAAGGGCGTCATTTTCATGTGCAAGTATTGTGCAAAGCACAGTCTAACTGTGCGTACCAGAATATGTCTGCCTCCAACTGGATCAAATCCACCAAAATTGCATTACACCACCTGCGCCACAACTTAGACCTGCTTTTAAGCTAGTCAAAGAATGTTTGGTCACCAAACTGCTCGATACCTCAAGGCATGCAATAAAATACGTCAGAATGCCTTTGAGGTGCAACGCGATTCGCAAACACGATAAACTTGATCCGGCACAAAAATAAAGATGCAACAGTTTTCACGCTGAGCACACATGCATCTGTCTATAAAATTAGGGCCCAAAATTTTTGTTGTCTTGTCATGAGTAAAGGGAGGCCTCTCTCTGAGGGAGACTTTCTATTTGTCGTATGTCGATGACACAACTGGCGGCTAATTAGGTCAGGGCATCTACTAAGGGACAGCCATTTTTTGAGAAAATAGCAAATACGAATTGCCATTAGTGGTATTTCCATGTTTTCTCTCTTTAATGAAATACTTTTTACAGTGCTTAACATCCAGTTGACTGCTTGTTCGTGAAAAAAATTCAATCACATCACATGATGATAAAACGGGAAACTGAACTTTGACACCTTAATGAAGCTCCGTTTTGTTTTGATATAAATGAATGCAGCACCAGAACATTTTGAAAAGCCACACGCGCCTCCTTGGACTTACTACGTTGCTTCAAGAAACATCCCCTGATCATCACGACTTTGTCTTAGTTTGACTCTGCACACATCCAACCAAGGAGGAAGGACACTGTAAGACCTGCCTCAGCAAGGTTGAGCAGTCATAACACCCAAAAATACGGCCTGACCTGATGTGCTTCCAGATGAGTCTCAGACCACGCTGGCGTGGGTTGAGGGGTGGGTCGGGGCGCAGAGAGGGAGACAGAGCAGGAGCGACAGCAGGGTTTCTCCTCAATAATCAGACAGACAGGAAGTGGACCAGCAGGAGGCAGGAAGATCCTCCCACCGCCCCCCATCTGGGTTGCAGGGGGTCGTAAGGGGTCGCAGGCGGCGTTGCTCAGGGTGTCGCTGGGGGGCGAGGGGAAGGGCAGGAGCCCTGGCTGTCAAAGCTAGCGGCTCTTGCTTTCCACTGTGACACACACACACACACACACACACACACACACACACACACACACACACACACACACACACACACGAAGAGTGAGTCTCATGCCATTTTAGAAATAACAATGAAATTGACTTGTATAAAAATGTAACATGTCTGGCTTTTGTGATATGAAAAAATGAAACCAAACAAATCATAACAAAACTCCCCCCCACGCACACACACTATTAATGTAATTTATAAGCTGAACATAAAATGTGTTCAATCACTTAAACACAGTATTTGGGTTAAACCATGTATGATAAAATCATTTCAAAATTCAAGTGAAATTGAACTGAAAGTACTGTACAATATTATTAAGGGTGTGACACTAGTTTTTTGAGTTGGATTCGGATCATTTGTTACAAAATACTGTACATCGTGTAGATTGGCTGGTGCTCGAGCCACATGTCCAGGGCTGGACTGGCCATCTGGCATATAGGACAGATGTCCGGTGGGCCGGCACGTTACGGAGCTGATGCAGTGCTATTTAATTATCATTTTCCTCTAATTTTTCCCCAAGAGACAGGACCACAATTTAGAGGCGGCAGCCCATTGATCCAGTTACATTATAGACAACAAACCAGAGGTGATCAGAAGTCTCGTCACATTAGATTTTATTTCATTTATTTAGCGCGTTTGATACTTTGTTCACACATTTTGGTCAGTGAAAGTGATCCAAGAGAATGTTGGGGTTTTTTTTGCCCCTCACTCACCTCCTTCTCAGATTTTTTGGACTCCAGTAGAGGGTGCCAGTGTGCGATGGGCTTGCGAGGGTAGGCCAACATTTCGTTCCAGTGGTCCCTTCCCAGTCCCTCTGCATTGCATCCCACCCGCATTACGCCGATGACCTCATTGTGACCGACCCTGCGGGGTGCAGGCGTGTGCAATGTGAGTTAGCTCGAAACATCAACTCATTCGTGGTTCCGATGATTGTCATCACTCACTGGATCGGCGATGTCACATCATCAAAAGAGAAACATCAGAAATGAGAAGTACTGTTCTGAGACATGGCTGAACCGACGTAAAAATGAAAATTAGCCCACAAAAGTAATATTAAAATGCAATCAGTTATGCCTTCCTTCATTCTTTTTTTCTTCCATGAAGTCTTCTGGCTGCACCACCACCACCCCCAAAGTCTCTCCCCAAGGGAAAATGCGCCCCCACGAATCAAACCGTGGAGAGAGAGGCAATGTCTTTATCACCTTCCACAGAATTGACTCTTACAAACATCCCCCGTTCCCTGCACACAAAACACCATGATCAATCATGTCGAAGGGGTAATGTCACATTAAAATTCCATTCTAAATGATGCACTGTTATGCAAATGCAAAATAGGGTAAACAGGTAAATCTTTCCATAAAAAATATATTCGACAAGCATTTTTACGGTGTCACTTTAGGACTGCTAAGATTAGTCAACTAGTCCTGATTCCATCAATGATCAAAATCATCAATAACATTTAATTTAATCATCAATGTAGTCCTTCATTTTTTTTCATCGTATTTTTTTTCTCAAAATTGAATTCTCAACCTTCCACGTCGTAGTTGCCTTTCTATTTTTCATGCACATGTGCAGTAGCAGTAATCTGAGTCAGCGGTCAACCGGTAAAAGGTTCATGGCTATCTGCCGGCAACGGAATGTGATGCAGAACTTGCTGGACACAACTTGCCTCTCATGGCAGCAGTATGATGCACAGGCATCTATAAAGGAGACATGTTGTGGCTGATTCCATTTCGAATGGAGAGGGACAGTCATCGATCTGACATCAGTCAGATATTTGGCTTGTCAGCTGCTAATCTTAGTTTGCATCAACGTTCATGAGCAACTCACTACTAGCCGTAAATATTATCTTAAAAAGCCTTCCTCATTCTGTGTGTGGTCTCTTAAATCTGAAAAAAAAAATCATTGAATTCAAAATTGTCACGTGCACAGCCGACTTTTCTTACGTACAAGTCATAATCCATGACAGAGATGTGAAGGCTGACGTGGTCCATGCTGTCGGGTGGGATGTCAAAGATGATGGCCTCGTTGTAGGTGGGATTGAGAGTGTTCTTTTTGATGCTGGTCTTCTTCTTCTTCAGACGTCGCCCGTCACATATTAGTGACACTTTGACGTAAGGATCTGGATTGGAGAAGGATGACAAAAGGGAAAGAAGTCATGATGGGACACGAACATTTATGAAGTCCTGAGAGGATCTGTTCTAGTTTGTCCTACTTTATGTTGACTTTAAAATAATACGTTTTCAAGCTTATGATGTCAAATTAGACTTGCATGCTAAAAGAACAGAAAACTTACTTATAAAAAAAAAAAACTTTTAGAGTTGGATTTTGTGCTTGATATATGATGTAAATATGAACGGATGAATGCATTTTGAAATTCTGCTTTCCACTCACCTCAACTCAACTCAACTGTATTTATAGAGCACTTTCAAACAGCCATCGCTGCATACAACATGCAAAATATTGAGAGCTCACTGAAATTGAAATAGTTTGCATTAAAGCACCCCATATGCTGGATTCTCATTTTCTTGACGGGTAATCTAATGAATATGTCATGCATCCATCCATCCAATTTCTGATCCGCTTTATCCTCACAAGGGTTGTGGGCGTCCTGGAGCTTATCCCAGCTGTCTTCGGGCAGTAGACGGGGGACACCCTGAACCGGTTGCCAGTCAATTGCACGGCACACAGAGATGAACAACACACAAACACTCACACCTTGGGACAATTTTGAGTGTTCAATCAGCCTGCCATGTATGTTTTTGGAATGTGGGAGGAAACCAGAGTACCCGGAGAAAACCCACGCAGGCACGGTGGGAACATGCAAACTCCACACAGGAAGGCCAGAGCCGGGATCGAACCCACGACCTCTGCGCTGTGAGGTCGACGCGCTAACACTGGATCACCGGGCCGCAATATGTCATGCACTGTATGCATAATGTTCTTTCATAGTATAACAAAATGCTTTTGTGGATCTTCAGACCTCCCCTTAATAAAAGCCTTTCTCCTAATAAACACTTAGTTGTCTTTCCAATCGAGTAAAAACAAAATTCACACCACTATATGAGGAAATGCAGTCATTTATACAGAGTATGTATATAATGCATGAAACGCCAATTAAAATCATGGTAAAAGCATAAAACTCTTGGGAGGAACTTTGTGGCTCACGTTGAATGCCATTAAACATCACAAGGAAAATATGTCACAAGAAATCCCCAATATGGCTGAACTGTGGCATTTAAAGCAAAACAAAGGTCACATTTCACACTATCAGTCCTGCAAGGGGAAAACGGGATGGCAGGCGCTTATACAAAAAAAAAACGTAACAATAGCTTGATATTACACACCTTGCCTGTGAATAATTGCCAGAATAAACAGAGAGATGGCTTGCCAGGCACTTTCGTGTTTATGATCTGAGACAACAGTAAACACACACACACACACACACACACACACACACACACACACACACACATGCCTGAGTATCCAGTGATGTCCATGGCCTTGAGGTTCCTGCACTTGATGACAGTCAGTGTGAGTCTTCCAGCAGTGGGCAGGTAACAGAGTGAAAACATGATCTCCCCAAGGTCGACACTCTCCTGAGGATGGACACACACACACGCACACGCACACGCACACGCGCGCACACACACACACACACACACACACACACGCACACACACACGCACACGCACACGCACACACACACGCACACACACACTATTAAACAAATGTTTTTTAACTTTCGAAGAGTTGTACACAGCAGCTGTGAGATACCAGGGAATGAGGGAATGCATCCTGTCTGCTTCCCATCCCAACACAGACTACCTCCAAGTTTTGATACGGCCTCTTACTTACTGTCAGTTTTAATTTGGCTCAACACGTCTTACTAAAACCAAATACGGGTCGTTACAATGGAAATAGCTATCCCGTTAACATATATATTTTGCCTTGTCACTTAATTTTCTCCATAGTTCATGAAGGGCATTTAGTCAAACTTTATGAACATTATCGCAATGTTTTGTAATTGATCCTAGATTTACAAAAACAATTAAAAATATAAATATGCTTGCCAGGTGAGTCGTTGACGATGTAACTTTGTTAAGAAACACCATCTACGCTCACTGTTTGTCCGCACGGGTCTTACCCAAAAGTGCTTTTTGTCAACATTTTTAACATGACACAAGTCACGCAGGGACGTAGCCTGAGTTTTCTTTGAGCGGTGCATGCTCGTAACCCTGTCCGTAACCGAGAAGTCATTGTTTACCAGCCCAACCATTGGCAGGTTTCATGAAACAAGATATCCCGAAACTTGCTTGACGCACTCATCATACAAGCAGGATCAAGTAAAAAGAAACGATACGCTGAGTTCAATTTTATTATACATTGTAATTTTCTTTTCTATTGATTTGCTTTTGTGTACTATCTTATCGTCTACTTTTACCTAATGCACTGATTTGCGGGCATAGTGTACTATCTTATCGTCTACTTTTACCTAATGCACCTAATGCCAATCACAGTGAACAATTGACATCACTTTGCACATTGCGATTGATGGTCCATTCATTCAAATCATCTCGAGCTATCACATTGACACGAGAATCATTTAAGGCTTCACCATTCTAAACCTTAAATTTTATTTAGGTTTGTTCCAGATTTTAATGTGAATGTGTTATGCAATAGCGGTATACGTGAGCATTTTATTTCACGTAACCATGTCTGTGGATCAAATGATAAACAATGACTTCCCAGCCATGTTGTTTGCTTGCTATGATGTGAAAGTAATGATTTTCATTGACATTGACCGAATCAAATGTTCTTTACTCAAAACAGATTCTTTCAGAGTTTGCATTCAGATTAATTACAAATTTGTTCTTGAAATTTATCGGAAAGAAAATAAAACGGTGAGATGCTCTTTCTCCAGAAAGGTGTGAGCGTGCCAAAAAGCAGGTGCACGTCATCCGTACGCTCGCAGGTGAACGTCCGACATGCATGTCTTCCTGTGACGTGGTGAGGAATTTATTTTGAAAGGTGTGAAATTCGAGCTGTGATGTGAGAGCGCAGCCGTCAAGTGGTGGAAAAGCATAAAGTGACACTGATGGACTGCGGAGGAAGTTACACAGCTTAATGTGTCATACACTTTTGACAACCGGGAGATTTTCAGTGTTTTACCCAAACAAGCTATAACACAGCTGGAGGTGTTTCTTTTGCCATGTTGATGGAGTGTTAATGCGATATGAAAGGGATTAACACTGTCAAGTCAACAGTGGGGCGGCAAGTTAGTTTGAATGACAGAATCTCAATTTTGAGGTTCACAGTTTGAATCTCAGCTCAGGCTCTCCAATGTGTATTGAAGACTGACCTGGACTAACTTGAACATGGATATGAATATGAGTATGAATAGTTTTAGATGTGTCCCCTGACTGGCTCCCGAGCGGTCTCGGGTATACCCCGTAGCGAAAGTTTTTTTCGGATAGGCTCTAGATCACCCGTGACGCTAGTAAGGACAAGCGCTATGGAAAAGGGATGGATCAAAGTGCTGCACTGTATGAGCTCGAGAAGTATGGAGATCGACTTTATGTAGGTTTGGGTTTTTGCAGTCATCTTATGTGTGTGGTCTTGCTTCGTTGAGACCAAATGTGGACCCGCACTGGCAGAAACGCTCACCCCGCATACGGTCTGAGAATTAGACACACTCTCGACAGGAATGTACAATAGAAACTTAAAACATGAAATCACATGAAGAGATCTCAAACTATGTGTTAAAAGACGGCACTGCATTCTTACACTTGTTGCGTAGTCGATATCTCTCCATAGATTTGTTTCCCGGGATAGATCCGACGTCTCAAAGAGGTTGTCCATCACCACCTCGCCAATCATGTCGTGTCGTGAAAACCTGTCAAAGTCGAAAACGCTCATGTGGAGCTTCCGAGTCGCCAGCTCGTCATAAGGCACGGGGAAGTGGAAGCTTTCACTGAAGGTGGGGTTGAGGGTCTTCCGGTGGACACGCGTCTGGAACTTCTTGCGGTCAGGCAGCAGGTAGATCTTGACGTAAGGGTCGGAGGTGCCGCACAAATCTTTGGCGGGAAGGTCGACCGCCCTGATGACGTTGACAAGCAGGGCCTCATTGTCATAGTCATACTTGAGAGAGAAGTTAATCCTGCCACAGTTTTTGCTGCTGCCGTTCTTGGAGGAGTCCCCGGAGTCACACGTTTTCTGCTGGTAGAGCTCTGGCTGAATACGGCCAATGCTTGTGGATTTTTCCTCTTTGTCCAACATGTAGTCGTTCCCCAGGTCTAGACTGCCGACCTGCATCTGCCGGGGAAGGTGCCTTTTGAAGGAATTGTGCCTGCAGAAGGACAAGCATCAGATGAAGTCATGAGAACAAGGAATGGAAATGTTCGATAACAAAACAAAATGTTTTTTCAATTTCCAAAACTTGTGCCACTTTATCAAAATGATATCCTTACTGAGGGTTTATTATTGCTTAGTAACACTATACCAGGGGTCGGCAACCCAAAATGTTGAAAGAGCCACATTGTACCAAAAAAACAAATATGTCTGGAGCCGCAAAAAATTAAAAGCCTTGTAATGAAGGAAACACATGCTGTATGTATCTATATGAGCTACATTAGCCTACAATCAAAATGACTAAGTTGGCTACAAATAAAATACAAAATGAGCCTTCATCATTAAATGTTTTTTTCCCCTGCACTGCATCCTGTAGAGCAGGGGTGCCCAACCTTTTTTGACCGAAGGGGTTCAATTGATGTCCCAGCCACCCAGCTGTGCTTGTATCTCAAGTTTGCGCTTGCAAGTCAAAGCAAAAGAAAATCGGTCGATTTGACGGCTATTTGTCTCAAAGCATTGACAAGTTTGATCATTGTAACGCTGCATGCCCGTGTTACATAAGGAACACACAGGCCATGTGGCCCACATGAGAAGGTGTAAATTGAGGATTTGAGTGACGTCATAGTTTTGTTACCGTATATGCTGCAAAGCATCTGACAAGAGTTCATCTATCATACTGTAATGTATTATTTGATGCCTTACCCCACTTGTGACCTAACTGTCAGTAGCTAAAATAAAAACATTCAAATTCATGGAAAAATAAGGGTTCAAGTTTTGATAAATTCATTAATTGATTTGTTGTGTCCTCCAAAGAGTTTTCTTCACCTTCGGGCAAAAGTATACGGTTAATTAATGTTTAAACGGAACCACATCACATTGATAAAGTCAAAGTTGAACAGATGCGGCTCACAGCTAATCAGTGATGACAAAGTGACGCTAATAGCATGCTTCTTGTAGTGCCGCATGCACGAATCATTGCGGATTGCCTGATGAGTCGTTGGATTGAAGCCCCGCGGGAGTGCACTCCTGCTTTAATTCAAGGACAAAAGGATTTAAAGGATGACGAGCTGGCGGTCGCTCAACATGCTGGAAACATGCATCGCAGCATTTTGCCCCCTCAGTGGAAGGCTCCCGATGAAGTCGTCACATGTAATTAACTTCAGTGTAATGACTTGCAAGAAGATGCAAATGCCTTCGAGGCCGCTGACTTGTTACATAACATGTTACAGACAACTCCAATAATGTCTTGAAATCATTTTAGCTTATTATCTGAGAATGACTTTAAATAACATGCAGCATCAAATGTGAAATTATTCTGCTCACCTACAAAGTGATACACCAGGGCGCCACAATTCAGGGCAAATGTAGGATCTCGCCCTCTCTCTGTCTTTCATTATTTTAGATTTATTTTTGAAAATGATGTGCACCTGCCAGTGCCTCTTTACATTTCAAACCACTCACTACATAAAGATGTAAGCAAAAACAAAACAAAGCAAAACTAATGAACGTCTTAAGTGCGCCCACTTGGAAAGGAAAAATGTCAAATAATGACAAAGAAAAGCAGGCGCCGACAACTTTCAGAAAAGAAAGAAAAAGCTGCATTTACAGAGACAATATCAACATCACATAGTAAAATGTGGTCTTGTTGCGAGAGGGGATTTATTTTTTTAATGCTTCATTTTAGTTTTTATTAATTTTTAGTGAAAGTGTAACTTTAAAGCCGACTGCAGGAACGTTGATCCAGAGTTTTTTGTCCTTGTTAGAGTACACGTGTACCTGGTTGGACACGTAACCCATGTGACCACATCACAATAAATACATGATGATTTGCTGACAGGCCCACGTGATCGAAATTTACGTTCCACACACGGACATTACTCCCACAAATAACATAAACAAAAGAGAAGTAACATGAATAGCAGGACACACTCATCATGGAGACTTTGGACACACCTAGCGGCCCCGGGTCTCTCCCAGGGTCACCCTTGTTCGAGCAGGGCTTTGCAATTGATCAGCTGAGCAGCGTCCCTTATTTCAAACCACGTGTCAGGATAGACGACACACAGGTAACACACTTGGGCTGTCATTGTTTCCCATGACCCCAAGACGGATGGGCTTGTTGAATTTAAACAAGCCATGCAGGGTTTTAATATTTTGATTCTACTGGTCCTTCACAACATTGCTTGAGATGAAACCATACAATAAGTATGGCACGCAACATGTGTATTATCAATGCGTCCGCACTCAAACACGCACACACACGTGTCATGACTAACCGTGTGGAGGAAGCCGGCTCAGTTGTTTGCCTCTGCATGCGCTGTGTGCGGCGCAGGAAGTGCTCCCTCATGGAGAGTTGAACATCAGTGGGGATGTCAGGAGATGTATGGCTTATCTTCACCGCTGCCTCCAGGAAGCCCATCGGGCCCATGGGGTCCTTCACTTTCTCTGTTGCCATGGTGACCGCTGGCTGCTGCTGCTGCTGCTGTTGTTGGGGACCTGGGGGCGACGGCAATGGCACCGGGTGAGGCAGCTGCAGCGGGTGGTGCTCCGGGCTGGGGGACGGAGCGAGAAAGCTGGCTTTGCTCCGCCGAGGCGGACCGCACCACTTCCAGGAGCCAAAGGCGAGGAGGCCCAGCAGAACTAAGCCACAGAGCACAAACACACCGAGCAGGAGGCCAAAAGTAGCGTCTGGTGGCGAGCCGTGGGGTACAGGAACACAATATGTGCAAGCAGATGGCAATGATGAGGGTGAGAAGACAAAGAGAGACACTATATTAGGTCAATATTTTTGGACATACCTCATTGTCTCCATATAACTCTGCAATTCACATCCACAGACTTCAGTCAGAAAATATGAAAATAGATGTTTTTGCCCTCAAGGAAACTTATTTGTTCACTTTGCTAATTGAAAATAATATCACAGTGCCTAAAAGCTCAGTTAACAACCATAATGGCTCACCTGTTTTCTGCAAGCTGAGCCCTGAGGCACTGTGATGTCATTTTCAGTCGACAGCAAGTGGCAGCACAAGGCTAAATGATAGCCCGCTGAGATGGATAGAAACAAGTGGGTTTTGCTGCTTAATTCATATGCGGCAAACGCAATCGTTTTCACAGTGCCGTGTTTAAACTCGTGGGGGCAGACACTTTTTTTTTCTGTACCATTTAACCTGACTATCATTGTAAAGAAAAAAAAATACTTGACTTCTCCATTAAAGGGAATGCGAGGACCCGCTTTGACTGAGGGCAAATTGATTTTAGAAATTGCTTTGCACCACAGTTTATTTTGATTTTTCAATAAATTTAGCTTTTCTATGAGACTGCTGCATATGTTTTTATTTTTTTTTGTTAACTTAATTTCATTATGTAAAAAAAAAACAGAGATGAAAATGAAAATGCTGAACCTGAATGAAAATAAGCAGAGAGAAGGAAAAGATATGATCCATACCAAGCATTTTAAAAAGGAAGTCAACCCAAAAACATTTCTTTACAATAATATGTTCTGTGTGGCTCCACTAGTCTCAACACACCATTCTGATTAATACTGTATTGTGTTCGTGGAATATGAGTTAAGCAGCAAAATTTACCTGTTTTTGGCATCTCAGGGGGTGGCCATTTTGCCACTTGCTGTCAACTGAAAATGACATCACAGCTGCTCAAGGCTCAGGTAACCACCAATCGCTGCTCACCTGTTTTCTGTAGCTAAGCCGTGATTGGTCGTTACCCGAGCACTGAGCAACTGTGATGTCATTTTCAGCCGACAGCAAGTTTCAAAATGGCCGCCCGTTGAGATGGACGAAATTGGGTGGATTTGACTGCGTAACTCATTCCACAAATGCAATATTAATCTGAATGCCAAGCATGAATGTATGATGAAAAGGACTGCCTCCATGACACAGCCTCTATTTTTATCGGGTTTTTTTTTCATTGTTAGAGTAAATCTTTTTAATTTTTGGAAGGTATGATGTCATTTTCTGTCATGTTTGAAAATTTTACTGTACACAGTGAATTGAATCAAATTCGTAATATCTGTTCAAAAAAATGACAATTAGATATATTCCTAAAAGTGTGCAGCACTAGCACATATGAAACCATTCTCACTCACATCAACATCTGCAGTCTGACAATTTATAGTTTTCAATAAACACAACATGCATAATTTGGGAATGCGGGAGGCAGCAGGAGTACCCATAAAAAAAATAAAAAAAACATGCGACAAATAAATAATAATAATACACAGAACCAACATAGCCAGGTTACAATATATATGATAATATGCTGTGTATTCATACTTATCACACGTCACACACCAGACAACACATCTAAAGGTGGTGATATACAATGCAGTACGATACTGTATCTCTGTGACGTTTTTATTGAATGGCACGCTGCCATTGAAAGAAAAACAATGGTCGGGGCAGCGCCAATCGGCGCGGAGAAAAAAAAATGATCATAGGCTGACAAATTACAGGTTAAATATATAATCTGTTAAAACGGTAATGCTAGATGTGTCACGTCGCGTACAAGGCAGGGAAAAGAACTGCTTCGTACGCAACAGTGCGAACGAGAATAAGTGGATCCCGAAGTAGCAGACACTGACGAGGCTATTGTCTCAAAATAATATTTATTACAAACGAAAAAACTCTGTCTAATGGAAAACAGAAAACGCTGGTCAAAAACGAGAACCAGGATGTAATGAAACGCGAAAAACAAAACGCTTGCGAAAAAACGGCAAGGAAAAGGATAAGACAATTTACTAGGTTACGTATATTTTCAGAATAATCCCCAATGGGATGACGAACGTGTAGCAAACAACAATAGAATACGGTTTACGAGCATGGGCAATAACAGTGGCACGGCAAGCAATACTCCGGCAATGAGTCGACAGCCGGAGCGCCTAGATATAGCAGGTGTAATCACAGACAAATGGGCAGTAGGTGTGCAGGCGGCAGAATGAATGCCTGCCACCTGCTGTCAAATACGGAACATGACAAGATGGGTCCTGGGAGCAGAGATGAGGGGTCAAAATGGCCAACAGATGAAGGAACCTGGGCATACCGGTTGAGTTTGAATGCATTTGGAGTCAAACACAAAAGACTTGGACACGGGCCAAGGACGCTGACAAGCAAGATGCGCGAAGCCTGAGGGAGAACAGGCAAAGCACGCTGTTTGTTGATTCCGTATAATCACATTTCTGCATCTGATACCTGGAACGTTCCCCAGTCGCCCAAGCCTGAATTCAATTCCCCACATTTTGCAGCAGTGTTCTTTTCCACACACTGTGTTGACTCTAATTTATCTACCATAGCTGAGTGCTGCTCTCAGAAGACTCTAGTCTCCATGTAATAGTGCACCGATAGCAGGAAGCCGCTTTAGGGCACATTGAATTAGCTTTTTTTTTTTTTTTTTCTCAAAATGTTTACTGAGCTAAATCTTCCCCCGCGGAAGACAAATAGAAGCTGCTGGAACCTGCAGGCAAAGATGAGTTCATCTCAGATCGTTTTTCGGTTTTATTAATAGAGAAAAGCAGATTGCTTGCTTTTGGCTTACATCTACATAATGTACATTTGTTCAGCTATTTAATCACACAAGTGACGAAACAAGAGTGGATAACCCACATCCTTTGAGCAGATGGAAGAGTCTCGGTGTCAAAAGCATGAAGTGACTATCGCAGTCTAATAGATCTTTATGAAAAAAAAAAAAAAACTGTGGCACCTACGTGAACTGAAACAGATTGCTCTCGCTCCTCAGACAGCTTTCTAGTTCCAAACTTAATTGAATGTTCCTCTTCAGATGAGCCCCTCCTTGCACAAAGATTTCTGCTCTTGGTAAACTCAGATCTCAGCTGTCCGCAACAGCTCCAAGGCGTCATGTGAAATTTCACAGACGCTCCACTGATACTGACGCTGAGCCTGCATTGTGAATTATACATGAGAATAAAATACAGTCAGCATGCTTGGCGTGGGTATCATGATATGGTCTGTATATGGCTGCTAAACGTTCAAAAGTTTGTCACACTTACTTGGCAATACCAGGGATAGTGAAAAAAATGAATGTTCAGAAAACAATTGAGAGAAGTGAGTTGAAAGAATGTCTTTTTTTTTTTTTTTTTTTGGCATGACTGGCATAGTACTCAATTTCCAGTCAAAAGCAGGTATTGATGGTGGTTGAAAGTTTACCCCAACATAAATCCGCACTTAACTGTTCATCAATTGGAACACTGAGATCTGACTCCCGTTTCAGTGTAGACTGAAGAAAATCTGATTTTGTACACCCGTCCATCAACAGGCATCTGGAAATACATTTGACTTTGTTCATCTCATAAAGAAATTCTTCTATCTTACTCATGGTAGGCAGGGTCAATTCAGGACCGAAGCTTGTCCTCAGGAGTGATCGTATCGAGTGATTGTATCGGGAGATAAATAAAGGTCTAGTTGGGAAGTTATATTTCTTTTTCAAGTGTTCAAATGACATGATTAAGCCCTCGTCAAAGCCGTTCTCTCGGCGCTGGAGCCCGTTCTTGTGTTGCATATCCAAAATCCTATTGTCAAGAGTCATGGGTGGGAGGTTTGTTTTTTTTCTAATCATGTTTTAGGTGACAATCCGTCTTTCGATCCAAGACGTTTGTGAATCTCCTACCAAATATTAATTCGATGCCTCAGCATCAATCTGGCAGATTGTTTACACATCTTGCATTTAATTATAAATGGAAACCAGATTGATCATTTCCTGTTCGGGATGTAATCCCATTTGTGTCCAAGCAGGTGCGTCACTGTCCTCAAAGAGAGACGATATGAGCCTCATTTGTGCTGCTAGGGAGTAGTTTAAGAAATCTCTCTAACTAATAGACCCAAATTAGTTGTACCAAGGTTATCTGGGTTGCTTTACAGTTCCATATGAATTGCCCAAGGCAACTTTTGTTGAAATAAAGATTGTGGTCATGGAAAGGGTGTGGTTTGAAAGAAGTACATCTTCATTTTGATCCAATTAAACACATCATGTTTGAAATCACAAACTTGTGGGCTAGCATGCATACGATTTTACATTGTTCTCGATGATTTCTGCTGATTTTCATATGTGAAACTTTCTAAAGGCACAAAAGAAGAATGTCCTTTTTTTTTTCATCGAGGGCTTGAAAACAATATATTGTTGAGACAGTACGTGTTGATCTTGTGATTGATGCTAAAAGGCTGTTATTTCCATATTTCAAAGAATTGTTCAGCTGTAAACTTTTCTTGATGGTCTGTGTGCTCTATCTGGTTCAGCGCGAAAAGGTTAATGAGCGAACGATCGCGCCACCACACCTCCGCGCGCTCGTCAATCAGCCGTGAAAGCGAAAGGAGCCTTTCCCATAATGACGACAGAAATAGAAGCATACGAGCTGAAAAGCAGCTCATCACTTCAGCGCTGCGAAGAAAGAACAGAGAGCTAAACATCCCCGCAGTAGTAAGACATGGACAGGCATGACCAAAAGCCGAATAGGAAGTGATGATAATAAAGCCGTTGGTCTTCCTCTTCAGACACACGGCTAATGAAGCGAAGCGTATTATTCCCGCCGGACACGAGCTCCCCAGACAGCGTGGGAATGGAGCGACCTCCAGCATTTTTAGCTGCACTATTAATGATTACACCCGCGCTTCCGCAGGAGTGGACTACCGCCGGGCCGCAGTCGATCACCAGGCTCTTTCTGG